TTGAGTTTGGTAAATTGCACGTTTAGTCACTGGGGCAGTGGCATTACCGTTTGTTACTAAAAATATGTAATTTCATTCGTAGTTACTAAAATTACTTGAATGGTTCTAATTTGGTCACTCTTTATTGCATTCCGTTAGTTTATGCTAACGTCGTTAATTTTTTGTTGATGTGACTAACAAAATCATCTAGTCACCAAATTTAACCCAAAAAATAAAATATGACTTGCCACATCAGGAAACCCGTCACATAATATATTCTAACATAACCCAACAGTGACCCGCCCTCTCAACCTCGACAAAACATATCCAAAACAATAACAAACCCCTCTTCTCCAACCCCCTGCTCCTTCTCAACGACCAACCTATTCTTCTTCCCCAACACCCTCCCCCCTTCTCATCTCTTCTTCCCCAACCTTTTCTTCGTCTCCTCCAAAATCACAGCCTCCATCCTTTTCCAGGTTATCGGCGCGTGATTGCTCCGACGTAGTGAGCCCCACGGCAGGAGGTGAAGCCACAAGCGACCAAAAAGGGAGAGACGAGACGTTCTCAACAACATCATACTACACCTAACCCAACCTCTAATAGATAAACCCCATGCTTCGATTGTCTAAACCCAAACTCGACGTTCAATTTAATATAAAATAATAATTGACCGTTTAGATTGATCGGAGCTCATTGAAGTACATCTAACGCCCAGATGCACTAGAGTATACAAGTATTTACCATAGGGGGTCAGACTGGTGTACTCCTGGAGTATACTATACTCCAGGTACTTCTAGTGAGATATCTCTATCTAGACCATGAACTAGATCGAGCTTGGGGTATTATACTACAACCTAACCTCTAATTGGTAAATCACATGCCTTGATTATCTAAACCCAAAGCTGAAGTTCATTTTAATAGAAACAATGATTGATTGACCGTTGAGATTGATTGGAGCTCATCGAATTACATCTAACGACCAGATGCATTGAAATATACTATACTCCTGGAGTATACCAGTCTTTACCATATGGGTCAGACCGGTATACAGTATACTCCTGTCAGTGGCGGACCCAGAAATTTTCTATAGGGGTGTCCTCTTTTAAAAAATAAATATAAAAAAATTAATAAAAATAAAATAGTAAATAAGAAAATACATTACTCGTACAGGTTAAAAAAGTCCATGATGTGTTTTCATATTCGGAAATAATTGTAGAATACACTTGGTGTCTATCGTGTTAAAAAAAATTCTCTCTATATACCCTACTAGACAACTTATCGCATATTCGATTTGTATACTTGTTCTTGATGTAAACCCAAAGCTGAAAGACTCTTTCAACACTTGTCGTACAATCATAAAATAAATATAAATTAAGGGTATCTTGAAATTAGTTTAATTGTTAGGTTTTGAAAATAATTAGAGATAGGGAATGACATTTTACTATTACACAGTGTTCAAAATCGAATAACAAATGAGTTGTAGCTCAATGAAAATTGATTTTATTAATAATAATAGTGTTCTACATTTGAATTACCCAACCTACCACTTATATTCCTATATGCAAATTAAAAAAATGACAGTAGGATAATCATTTTTTCAAATTTCAGGGGTGTCCATCGCTATCAATTATATTTGTTTTGTCCATACGTAAATTACCACCGGGGGTTGGATAACCGTTTTCCCAAAATTTAGGGGTGTCCCGGGACACCCCTAAAACCCCCTGGGTCCGCCCCTGACTCCTGTAGTATACTCTAGGTACTATTGCGGTATGATATTATACCATAACCTCTAATGGAGAAATCTCAAGCCCCGATTATCTAAACCAAACCCGAAGTTCAATTTAATAGAAAACAAAATTTATCGTTGAGATTGATCCAACTCAGCAAAGTACATCTAACGACAAAAAGTGTAGAAAACAAAATTGTGAAACTATGCAACCTGGTGCTTTTGGTTTTCTGTTTGAGACTACCAGAGAAGGGTTGAGGAAAGAAAATGAAGAGGTGGGTCGGGTTTAATGGTTGGGTTGGGCAAGCTGACATGGCAGGTTGTGATGATGTGGCAGTTGTGTTTACTATTTTCCAAGTTAAATCAGGCTGATTAGACGATTCTGTTTGCTACATTAGCACCAAACATGGACCAATTTACTAATATGAGTGACCAACAGTGGAATTAAATATTTCTAGTGACTAAACATGAGACATTTTAATAAACCCAGTATCCAAACATGCAATTTACAAAAAAAAAAATATGACCAACTCATCAACAAAGTTTGATTAGTGCACTAAAACTAATGATTCGTTTGCTTGTTGGATTTGAAAAATGAAGATTTTGGGCAATAAAAACCTTGGAATTTATGAGGGATTTATTTGATTATTGATTTGAAGAGTCTAGTGTTTGCATGATAGATGTGTGATGGATTTGTTACATAAATAACTAACCATCAAGAATTTACAAATCCCAAATCAATATGTGGGATTTACAAGTCCGTGGGATCCACGAATTTGGTTCCAAAATAAAGACCAAATCTGTGAATCCCACAAATTTAGCACCCATCAACAATTAATGGACTTGTGTTAACTGTTAAATCCATAAAGCTTTTGATTTGGATACCAAATCCATAATCCAAATCCAACAAGCAAACCACCCATAATTCTCGCATAGTTGATAAAAGGATAAATTGCAAGTTTGGTCACTTGAATTGCTATAAAAGTTCACGTTTGCCACTAAAATTAATTTATATCATCCATTGTCACTCAGATTAGTTAACCAGTCCAAGTTTCGTCACTGGCCGTTAGGGATGGCAACAAAACCCGAACCCACGGGTACCCACCCAACCCAACCCGTCAAAGCGGGTAAAATCTGTGTTGACGGGTTTTGGGCCGAATTTGGCTTTAAACTCGTTCACTATTCACCGAGTTGGGTTGGGTTTGGGTTTAGGTAAACTCGCCCCATGGGTACCCATCCACACCCATATAATTAATTTTCTCGGTATATTTAATATTCTAAACAACTAATCTTATTTATGTTTGTGGAGACATGTCTAATTTTTTCTTTCTAATTGTGTAGAATGAAGTTGATGTTATAGAGTGGAGAGTGAAGAAACTTAATTGAAAGGAAGAAGCTTTCAATTAATCATGTTATTTATGGATAATTTGTGATTTGCTTCAATTTTCTTGAGTTTTCTAGATTGGTGTTGAACAATTTGTATAGTTAATTTGTGATTTGCTTGAATTTTCTAGAATGGTGTTTTACATATGGATAATTTGTATTGATAGATTGATATTTGACTTTAATTTCGATAGAAACTTGTTATTGTAAATTTTTTACGACAAAAACCCGTGGGTACCCATGAACTCGCGGGTACCCAGCGGGTTGGGTTGGGTTTGAGTTTTTCAAACCCAATGGGTTTTACCCCGGGTTTTTTTTTTCACGGATAAACCCATGGGTTTGGACTTTGGTTTGGCAAAACCCGACCCATTGTCATCCCTACTGGTCGGTCGTTAGTCTCTGTTAACTTTTGTTGAGGTGACAGTCAACTCTCATAGTTGACCGTTAAATAGGTGATGTGGCAAATAAAAAATAAATAAAAATTTAATCTATTAAAAATTTCACGTCATTATCATAAAAAATAAATAAACATAAAATTATAATTATCAAAATCGAAATGAAAATGAAAATTTTCTCCCCAATCCCATTGTCGTCTACCTGATGTGTGCCTTTGCTGGCGATCCCCAATAGCAATAACCACTGCCATTTCCCCGGACCGCCTGAAAGTGTCGATGGCTTCATCCTTAGCGCTGATCTCCACACAGACTTTAGCGTATGTCAGAATCTGACGGTTGTTGCTGCTATGACGACGACGATAATAATCAGTGGTGGCTCGATCAACGTACACAGGCTGTCCAGGCAGCTGACGATGTAAATCAGTCCTTTAGGGTTCATATACTCCTCCGGAATTGTTCCTTAAGGCAACCGGCCAACGGGAAACAGACGTCGGCCGGAGAAATGAGGTAAAAGATGGGGAGGAGAACTCTGTCGCCGTCGCCGCCAATGCAGCAGCAACATCAGTGCACGGTCTCGAACGCCTCATTGGTGTATCGGTGCTACTGCTGGAGCTGGTGGCGCTGTTTGCATAGCCATTGGTGTTGCATAGGGTAGGGAGAGGATTAAGAAATTGAGCCCACCGTCCTCCATTTCTTCCAGGGAGCATACATGAACGGCGCTGCGACAACTTCGAGCATGGATAAGAAGAAGGACAAATGCAATGACAGAAGTTGTGATTTCCATAAATTCGGAAGGCGAGGACGAATGAGCACGTAGGCGATGCTTCTTCTCAACAATCGGAGGAAGCGATGCGAGATCGTGCACCGATGATGCTGTTGTGTTGGCGGCAGAGTTCTCCTCCCCATTTCTCCGGCCAACGTCTGTTGCCCGTTGGCTGGTTGCTTTAAAGAACAATTCCGGAGGAGTATATGAACCCCAAAGGGCTGATTTACATCACCAACTGCCTGGGACAACCTGTGTACGTTGATCGAGCCACGTTGATTATTATCATCGTCATTATAGCAGCCGCAACCGTCAGATTCTGCCATATGCCAGAGTCTGCGTGGAGATCAACGCTAAGGATGAAGCCATCGACACTTTCAGGCGGTCCGAGGAAATGGCAGTGGTTATTGCTATTGGGGATCGCCGACAAAGGCACACATCAGGTAGACGACGATGGGATTGGGGACAAAATTTTCATTTTCATTTTCATTTTGATAATTATAATTTTATGTTCATTTATTTTTTATTTTTTATGATAATGACGTGAAATTTTTAATAGATTAAATTTTTATTTATATTTATTTTTTAATTGCCACATCACCTATTTAACGGTCAACTATTCGAGTTAAGCGCAGAGAAATGGTGTATCCAGAAGCACGTTACATCTTCGTTAAGGAGGGATCCCCTGATAATGATAGTGGTAAAGCTGCTGTCTTTGTAGGATTTGTTCACTTCAGGTCTACTCTGGAGGATGATATACCTGTTCTTTAGGTTTACGAGATTCAGCTACAGTCTCGTGTCCAAGGCAAAGGCTTGGCCAAGTTCTTAATGCAACTCGCTCATTGCTCTTAAGGTGAATATTTTCTCGTATGTTCTGGTTTTGGGTTGATTATGCTGTGTATGTGGGGATTTGAATCTTGAAATGGTTTTCCTTCTGTTCTTCTGTAGAGTTGTATGAGTGTTGTAGTGTTAACCGTTCAGAAAGCTAATGTTGCGACTATGAACTTCTATACGAGCAAGTTAAGGTGAAACTTTCATTTGAAATTCCTATTTCTTCGCTGAATCAGAAGTTGAGGAGAACAATCTTGTGTTTCTTTGGTGAATTAAATTATTCCAGGTTTTTACTTGCAGGTACACTATATCAAGCATTTCACCATCACGAGTAGATCCGTTGGTACGAACCTGAATTCGTTCCCTAATATGTGACTCTCGGATTCTCAAAGGTTTTATCTTCACCTGTGCATTGTTGTGCAGATGGGAGCTAAAAAGAGTTACGAGATTCTCTGCAAAGCATTCGATCATGAAGCCAAAGTTGCATTGGAGGTAACAACTTGTTACTGCTTCATTATCTACTTGCCTGCCTTCAAATCTCAACTTACCCTTTTGGTTCTTCCCTCTTAGGAGACTGTTTGAGCTGGAAGAAAGATGGATCGATCCTTCAGGCCCAATTCCCAAGTGATTCTAAAAGGTCCCCATTGAGATTTAAGATTTTGCACTCGCCACTCGAACAGAGTACAAACCAGACCTCAACCATCTCTTAATTGCCCATGTCAATGACGAGTCAATGTAAAACCAATGAATTGGTGGAGGAGCCTGAATCTGGTGAGAACCCTTGACTAAGCAAGCTACATACTATATGGTCACCTAAGAAAGAACAACTTTGAGGATGTAGGCAGCAGTTAAGCCAACGAATCAGTACTGGTATGTAGGCAGGGATCATGCTGTTACATTGTATTATTGTCATGCTTTGTCAATTCACCTAATGCTTCAGCTTGCTCAAACTCTTTACCATTTTAAGGAATGTTCTTCACTTTTGATTGCCAAATCGTACCACCAGAAAACTGCTCCAACAAATTTGCACACGTCTGAAAGAGGTAAGAGTCTACTGTGTGTGTGAAAACACAATGATCGGTTGATTGCCCAGTTTTTGGAATGAGACAGGGAAGAATTATCATTAGGTGGGATGTTTGAACCAAATCAAGACTTATTAGTGATAAGTGATAACACACCAATTGGAATTAAATTTTATTTTGGCATATTAGTTGAAGCTCTAGTCATGTTGCAAGAGTAAAATATGTTGCATGCAATTATCAGTGAGAAAACCATTTGGTTTAGACTTCTGAAGCTTTACTTCATTGGCTTATGTAGCTGCAAGTCTTGGCTCCGTCTATCCCAAAATCTAGAAATATTCATATTTATGCATGTGAGTGTAACTATTAGTTCCTTAATGAATGTTCAAATCAAGAAGGGAAGCTAATAACAAACGTTTCTAGCTATCTCCTCTCCCTCAGACCTTTACCGGCATAGGCAATTGTCCAAATCACACTTCTTTGGGGGTACAAATGGGACTTGTCTGGTCTAACTTTCAGACAATCAAACAGTCTTGCAAACACATGTAAGTAGACATTTTGTTTCACGAAGGAGTCTTATAATAAATTCAAACGCATCCCCCTACAAGGATCAATATTCTGTAATCGTAGAATTGGCTCTATTGTTCAGTTTACTGAAAGGCAAGCAGCAAAAACAGGGGATGGAACGAAAATAGGGGAATAGATTTTTCTTGTACCGCTGGCCTTCGAGCTCATTGCTCGTTGGGTGCTTGTGAAATCCCTGAAAGTTTCAATTTTCTTGGAGTTTGCTGGTTTTTTGCTATGTTATGTTGTGAAGTGTGGGAATTTGACCTTGAAAATGGTTATTTTTATGTTCTTCTGTGTAGTTGTATGACTGTTGCAGCGTTAAGTTTTCAGAAAGCCAATGTTGCTGCGTGAACTTCTACACCAACAAGTTAAGGTGATTTTTTTAGTAAACTTTCAATTGCGATTAACTTTGAGGTAGACTTTCAATTGCTGTTCGATATTAGTTATTGTACGTCAAAAAACATCCTTGTGTTTCTTGGTTAGTTGATGATGGGGAGGTTTTTACTTGCAGACGCATCATATCAATCAGTTCACCATCATGATTTGATCCCTCGGTACGAGATCTCACTTTTTACTAAACTTACCTTGTTCATGAACACTCGGTTTTCAGCCCAATTGTGCATTGTTCTGCAGATGGATACTGAGAAGAGTAACGAGGTTTTCGCAAAGCAAATGATCATGATGCCAAGGCTGCCCTCAGACTTTGTTTAGAATAACAAGCTAGAGCATAATGTACAACTCTTTGGAAAGAGAAACAACCAATCTTTTTCACTCCCTGGTAAACTCTGCTGTATTTTTCATACATTCTGAGAATGATTCATTGTTCTGGTGTGGATTGGATGTATCACGATTTTGTGCCTTGCCTACTACACTGTTTAAAACTCACTTTAATGAATAAGCTTCCATGTGGAACCAGTTGTTAAGTCATCAAATCAAATTTGGCATTCATACAACAACAATCTGATGCACATTGAATCAAAACTCTTTCCCATTTGAAGGAATATTGTCACCTTCGGATTGCCAAATTATACCACCAGACTCTTTTTTTTTTTTGGTACCAACATGCAAAATCTGAAAGAGGAAGAGTCTACTGTGTTGGAAAATCAATAGTTGACTGTTCCCCTATACTTTTGGCTATGAGACGGAAGAATTCTCATTCGGTGGGATGTTTATATCAAGGGCTTATTGATGATGACCTACCAAATGGTATTTAATTTAATTTGGTGTATTAGTTACTATGCTTGTTCATATATGGGATCAATTAGATGGGTGAAATGCCTAACTTAAAAATTGGTCATTGTAGTTTGCAACAAAGCAGTCATTTAAGAGAAGGGATGAACAGAAATGATACATTGATAAATGGGTAGGAATATATTGAGCAATGGCCTTTTTGTCCATTGAATACTTAGACAGAAACCAGTCTGTAACATGTGGCATCAAAGAATCAGCATATGTATAGATTTCTCTTCGTTCCCCAACCCCCAAACTTACTCTGCAACATATGAATCCTTCATCCTTCTGGTCTTGTCCTTTTCATTACTTGAACAAATGTATCAATCCCAACTTGTTTTGGATATAAACGCAAATGGGAAATTTCCCCATGAGATGAATATTCTGAAATACCAGAAATGGGGGTTTCCAGACTATTGAAGGGCAAGCAGAAAGATGCTTCCTTGCTAAATCTAAACACTTTCGACAGTACAAGTTTGGTGTTTGTCCTTTCACTTACAGAGCTGCTCCATTGTTTATGTATGTATGTATGTATGTATTTATTTATTTATTTCTGTTCCATTTCTTGTATAAAAACCAATCCTACTGGCAGAAATGGAGGTAATCAGCCACACAACAAACCAAATGGCTAAAAAGCGATCAACTTTAGAATCCTTAGTCCTGCTACCCATCAAAACCATCTTCACCATAACATGCTGTTGCAAACTCAATCTCTGTAGAAGATCAAGCAACTTTCAGTACTCAGATTTCTCAAAACTCCCTTCCTCACCAAGCAACCAAGACTCGGTTCTGATGTTCAACATGGAAGGACACTGCTAAAGTCACCTTCAATCTTCCCTTACTTCATGTTGGTAGCTTTTGAAGCCGGGAATCCGTTGAGGGCACTCATCCTTCTCCTTCTGTACCCTCTAATCTGTTTAGTAGGGGCAGAGATGGGACTCAAAATCATGGTCTTTGTCAGCTTTGTGGGGCTTAAAGCAGGGAGCTTTCGAGTTGGAAGAAGTGTATTGCCCAAGTTCTTCCTAGAGGATGTTGGTCTCCAAGGGTTTGAGATGGTGATGAGGTATGAGAGCAAAGTTGGGTTTACTAATTGGCCTATGATCATGGTGGAAGGCTTCATGAAGCATTACTTGGGGATCGAAACGATTGTTGGCAGAGAGATGGTGGTCTTTCATGGCTACTTTTCTGGTCTAATGGAAGAAAGGAGACCATGTAAGCCGAGTTTAAGCAGTGAGATCATTGGGTTTGATTGCTTCAACAATTCCCTTTGCCAAAACTTCCCATCTCCCTTCAAGGTTAGGTGATTGATTTCCCTGTTCATTTCTAAAGAGACATACTTCTCTGATGGTAGTTTTACTATTATTATTATGATTTTAAAGTTCTTACCGTAGTCATTTTACCATATTGCTTTTCTTGTATATCATGCACTTCACTTTATCACAGAGGCAGAGAAGAGAACTTGGCAAACACTTCCAAGAGCCAAGTACCCAAAACCACTTATCTTCCATGATGGAAGATTAGCATTCAGGCCAACTCCATTAGCATCCTTAACAATGTTCATCTGGCTTCCATTCGGCTTCCTCCTTTTCGTCATCAGAAGCCTTATTGGAACCTCTCTCCCTTACCAAATCTCAATCCCTCTCCTCCAAGCCACAGGGATGCGTGGCTTCTGTTCCAAGCCACGATCTTTCCGGTCTGACAAGTCACAAGGAACCCTCTATGTCTGCAACCACATAACCTTATTCGACCCATGTTACATCTCAACGTGCACAAACAATCCTTTAACAGCAGTCACATACAGCTTGAGCAAGTTCTCTGAGTGGATGGCGCCAATCAAGACAATCCAAATCACGAGGAACAAAGACAAAGATCTGAAGTTGATACAAGAACTTCTGACAAAAACTAACCTTGCTATATGTCCTGAAGGCACAACTTGCAGGGAACCTTACCTGCTGAGGTTTAGTCCTATGTTTGCCGAGGTTGCGAAGGACATTGTTCCTGTGGCGATCGATATGAAGTGCAACATGTTCTATGGAACGACTGCTGGTGGGTGGAAAGGGTTGGACCCTGTGTTTCAGTTGATGAATCCCTCTGTTTGATGTGAACTTAGGGTTCTTGAGAAGGTGCCCGAATGTATGGTTTGTGAAGGTGGAGTAGGCAAGTCTAGGGTTGAGGTTGCCAACTATGTGCAGGCTGAGATTGGTAAAGCTTTGAACTTTGAGTGCACTAGCTTGACCAGGAAGGATAAGTACTTGTTCTTGGCAAATAATGAAGGGTTTGTGACAAACTAAAATCTTACTACTATAGCTTGAATATATTTTTCTTCTTGTCTTTTGTTTCAAAGGAAACTTTGTATAACTGTGTGCTTTGTTTTGACCTTTGTATACTATTTACTACATACATCTTGTTTATTTAGCTGTTATAGTGATGGCAGTTTTCGACCTGATCCATGTGATTCAATTTGTCCCAAACTATTTGGGGTGGGCATTATCCGTTGTGCAATAATATGGGGCGGGGCATGAGTATTGCTTTCGACCTGTCCCGTCCTGTTCTTGAACCGCTCTATCATGAATTGCATCCACATCTATATGTATTTCTTCTCGTTTGAACTTTCTAACAATTATATTTTCATCCTAAGAAAATTTTAAAACTCTATCTTTCAACTATTTAGACTCAATTAGATCTTTTACTATATTTCTCAATTGTTTTTTCTATGTGTTTTTGTAAAAGAATAAAATATTGACGTTCATTTTTCAAAAAATATACAAGGATGGGTCATTCCACCCCCATCGTGTATCCGTGCGAGTATTACCTTACCTCGTTCTATTCACATCACTAGTTGAGGATTCTAAAGAAGCAGTATATTTTTTATTTTATTATTATGATGATATACAAGTTTTGAACTCATCTATAGATTGTTTTCTTGGTCGGACCGCCAATACAGTACGATTTTACAAACACTGATTTTGTTAATAATTTAAAATCACAAATTTCATAGATGATTATTTTGGTAACCGGTATTTAATCAAGAGGTGGGTTTACACAAAATATAATTAGGCCCAACACCCGAGTACCATAATCTGAGCCCAGCCCAGATAAATAATTAGAAGCTGAAGCTCAATTATAGACGAGCCCGTGTTGATCATTAGCTCATTAGTCATTACTCAAAAACCCCTCCCAAAACCATAACCCCCAGTTCTCCTGGATTCAGCCATTGCTGTCGTGTTGTTCATCCAAGAGGAATTGCGGGAGAGAGTTCGATAAATGGCTCTGTTGCGAGCAATATTGCAGACAAGAACTCTGCAAGCGAATCCGGCACCTGGGTTCTCCAGATTCTACTCTCACTCCTCCCCTTATCTCGGTAACGCCAATTCTTACTCGTTCTTCTGATTCTTCCTCCGTTTCCCCCATTCCAAATCGAATCTCCCACCTGAATTTTATATCGCTTTCTGTTTTGGTTTCTTCTGGGATGAACAGCGTAGATCATTTCTGATTTTTTTGTAATTGATGGGTGTTTTCTCGACCATTGGTAATTGGTGTGGAAAAACTTATAGTGGGCTTGAATTGGTTTGTGTTAGAACGGCTTGCTTCGCGATAAAGCTGAGAACTTTGCTAGCTCCGGAGCTTTACGTTTCACAGAACGAAAAGTGATGGTTCGTTGTTATTAATTTCTGTTGCAGTGAAAGTGGGGATTCCGGAGTTCTTGAATGGAATAGGGAAAGGTGTTGAGAACCATGCGGCCAAGCTTGAAAATGAGATCGGAGACTTTCAGAAACTCCTCGTTACTAGGACATTGAAGCTTAAGAAGCTTGGAATCCCTTGTCAACATGTAAGCAATAGTGTACACTCACTGTCTTGAAATCTCACACTTGCTTTCCTTTTCATCAATTTTGAATACGAATTCAAAAATGAGATTAGAACTGTTTGAGCGAGCTGGTCTTACGTTTTGGTAAGTGTTGGGTGAACTTGAATTCAAGGACTTTGCCTTAGATTTCCTGTTTCGATTAGGAAAGTTCTCGAACTTTAGGATCCTGTCTAGAGCATTTGGGCATCTTTGTTTCCAGATGATCTATTGATTGGTTATGGTGTTTGGGTGATTGGGTGTTTCTATACGCAGATGAAATATTGATTGGTTACAATGTTTCTTCTGCAGAGGAAGCTGATATTGAACTACGCCCAAAAGTATAGGCTCGGACTCTGGCGACCCAGAGCAGAACCTATGAAAGCGAAATGAACCTCTGAAGCACGATATCTCGAGCAGTAGCAACATTTGTTTGTTCCGTTGTTGGCTGACCGAAGAGAGATCTTAGTATATTGATCTGTATGAGCTGTCAGATTTCTCAGTTATTGCCCTACCTCATGGTTTGTATTATTTGGCAATGTAGTTAAGGATGCAGAACTGAAGTGTGGCAAAAACATTGTTATTACACACGAGAGAAAGATCACTTCACAAAAACATTCCATAGTTTATATGCTCTTTCTTAAGCACCTGCATTTCTTCTGTTTTATAGCTTGTTATATGGATGTTTCGTTGATCAATTGAACTTGCAATTATCACACTATTTCATTCTGAGTGATGTTTCGAGATGGGATCACAAAAGTCATGCTCTGAGTATTAATTTGTTTGACGTCGGGTTAAACTGTTAAAAGCATTCACCAATCAGTTGATACAATGCCATGTACAACGGGAACATTAGTTTGCTTGGGAGGCACTCTCAGTGTTTCTCTCTAAGTTGTAGCTTGCCTGCGAGACAAGCAGTCCAAGACGCCTTTTCCCACTCCAATAAGCTCCAATTGTAACTCTGAAAGTTCACTCCATACTGCTGGTAAGGCTGCTGAGGAAGATCGAGGCCACATGTATCCATGTGAAATCCAACGAGCCAGTTTCTAAAAAAAAAAAAAATTGTGCTTGGACAGGCCTGGAAATGAAGTTCTTATCTGGAGCGTAGGCCTGTAACAGAAACCCTTAAAGATCATCAGCAGGAGGCTTTGAAACATTTGATAACGTAAGCTCTAACAGATAAAGTGTGCAAGCAACGAGCAAGAATTAGCTATCCCATTGAAAGAATGACATCACAGCAGAAGTGAACAAGATGATCTTTATTCTTTGTGAAAACAGAGGAAAGGGCTCCTACGTGGGACATGATTGCATCAAAATCCTAATCCAACAAGGATTCTGGCAAATGTCAGGAAAGGCAAGTGCATGACAATCATAAAAAAGATATGAACTTCACTAATAAACTTCTACACTTCTAATCACACACCGTATAACAAACAAACTGAACAAGAGAGAAGAAGTAAAGGATCAGCAAGGGGATATTTAACATAGTTTGCATCCAAATCCTAATCAAACAAGGATTCAAAATCTACACAAGGCAATCAAGTGCATTAACCAACCACACCAAGAAACAACAAAGGAGCACACAACAACAACAAAATCTCATCATATTTTTGTTACCTTGGAAGATAACGATGACGAAGAAGCCAACGGTGACCGTCATAGCAAGAATGTTCGCACCCAATGAAGAAGACGACGAGGAGGACCGAGACTTTTTATCATCCACCCTCTTGCTCCTGAGCGACCTCATATGCTCAATCCTCGCATGCTTGACCTTCGACAACACAGAGATCTCCCTAACGTACTTCATATCCGCAGCATCCAATGCTGGTCCCCTTGGTGGCCTAGGTGGTTTAGGAGGCTTCTTGGATCCCTTCCCCATACCAACCCTGCTACTACCACTCTTCTCCTTGACATTGTTCTCATCCCCAGAACCACTCTCGATCGAATTAAGCCCTAACCGGTTCCCCAACGAACCACTCCTCAACCTATCAAGCTTCCTCTTGGAATGCCTCTTGTTGCCTCCATAACCTCTGAATTCATCATCATCGGTAAGAATCCCTGCGCCACTTTCCAAATCAAGCATGCTGTTGCTCCTTGGCATGCCTTTATTATCCGAATCTGGCCTGTTCATTCTAATAACCCGAATTAGTACCACAATTGCTTCATTTTGATGTATGCAATCAAATTGAGGGGGAAAAGCTTCAAGCAACAAATTCAATACACTCGGCGAGAGACCCAACAAAGACGCGATCTTTACATAACCCGAAATCCAGCATCGAGAGAGGAAATGCCAAAATGAATGGGGAATGGTTTTTTCCTGAATCAAATTTGCGGGCCCATTATCTCCTCTTCCTCCCTGTAAGAATCCCCCAACCCCGAAAGGGGGAAAACAAGAACACACAAATTAAGAAGGCAAGATGATAAAGCTGCATTGAAACAAACAATAACCGAAGAAATTGGAGCTTCCGCATTACAATGAAGAAACCCAGGATCGAAATTTCTGCAGAAATGAAGAACGAAGGAAGCAAGCAAGAAGAGAGAAGATATTACCCGTGGTTTAGAAGGAGGGGAGCGGGGGAGATTGAGGTGGAACTCTTGGATTCGAGATCGGGGAGTAAGGTACTTAAAAGAACGAGGGTGGACGACAAAATCTAACAGCCTACGACGAGAATGGAGAGCTCAAAATCGTTGGACGACGTTGCCATTGTTTGTCCCCTTTCTGTCGGAAAAAAGAACAGTATGCTAAAACAGGAAAGACGGTGGGGGGGAAAGAAATGATGGGGAATGTCCCGGTGAAAGGGTTTTTGGGCTTCCGATATCAAATAAAACTGTTGGGCTTCGATGTGAGATTAGGGGCCTAACACTTCTAAGCCCACAGAAAATTTGGGCTTGCTTTTTAGCTTAAATTAAAACCAAGTTAAGAAGAATAGAAGGCGTTGGATCTCTGATGAATGGATGGAGGGTAGTAGGGGATTGGATTCGGAATTGATAGAAGATATTTAGGGATTTGGAGAAGATTAGAATAAAATTAGGGATTGGAAAGGAGATTGGAATAATCTAACGATACTTTGATAATTTGTTTATTGATTGATTCTGAAGAAATAGGTAAAACGACAATATATAGACGCTAATCCGAAACCCTAATCAACCTACTCGACTAAACTTACTAAAATACCCTTAACTACTACTCGTGCCTCCATCAATCTCCCTTGCGTATGCTCATGCATGGGACAATCGCACGTATGTATTATCTTCTCTTTTTCGTTATCTTTTCTCCCAAGCTTCTCTTCTCGTTAATTAACCAAGAAAAAATAGAGGCAGATATGAGATGCAGCCACAGAAACCGTGGCTAACAAATTCTCTCAAACGAAAGCCATCACATATAGACTTGAAGTTTATACATATTCGAATATCATGTATTTAACAAATGGGTCTCTGGTAATCGAACGGAAGACCTCTCAATCAAAAAAGGCTATGTTATTATGGTAAGAATAAATCGATCCCAATATTTTGAATTGTGGAGAGAAATTTAGTAATGAATCTTACCTTGCTTACTAACAGTCTTACATTTTACAAATGAAGCATATCGCTATGTATATCGAAATTGAAGTCGTCTCTTATTCTCCTCCATCTTCCGAGGAATAAATAAACACTTATTTACTTTCCTAATCGTGTAGTAAAACAGCTGTACTAGTCATGTGAGTCAGCAGTGTATTAGCTATATATATTGTATGCATAGACCAATTATTGAGTTAACGAGAAATCACGACCTTATCTGTAGAGAGGGGCAACCACGTGTGGATGAGGAAAGGGACAAGGGGTAACCACTTGCTAATGGAGTTGATATTCGTGGACCGTGGTCATTCAACTTTGAAATAGGACCAAATTATCACTCAAGTTTGAAGTGATTAATGAAATGATCATTACAAGATTTTTTTTATCTAACTTATCTGGATTAGGGTGTGCTAAATCACCATGTATTAATCAACGGTGAAAAATGCCATATAGTCATCCCCTAATAGCTATTAGGCAAGGAGAGAAAAAGGGGCTGAATTGCATCTTTGTGGGCTATAGAGTTGAGACTAAATCGAATAATTATATGCATTATTATAAAGTACGATTGAGCTTAGTTGAAAAAATTTGCTCTAGCAACTAATCAACACTTACGCGAGATTCCGACTATTGTTGATTGAAGAGAGTCGAGATGATAATTCCGTCGCATTGGACGAAAAATGGCAATTGTTGAATATATTAAATATTTTATGATTTGGTTCAATGAGTTAAAAAACCCAAAAGTTCAGTTACTGTTGTCTTAGGGGTCGTTTGCTTCAAGGATTTGGTACATGGATTTGGTGGATTTGGTACCAAAAAACCAACTATCAAGGATTTAGGTACAATCCGTTGTTTGCTTGCACCTTTTTTGGAGACCAAATCCGTGGGGCCCACGGATTTTAAGGGTCCAAATCCGTGGGGCCCACGGACTTTAACTATTATACATTATAATTAACAATAAATGAATAATATAAACGTTCAATTAATGTGCAAACATGAGTTAGATTTTTTATATCATTTCTTGTGTTCTAGTTTTCTTTGACCTTTTCATGGAACGTGTAATTCTTTGTTCTCCCGATTCTAATATATGTTGTTATATGTCACTTTTGAAAAGGAGGACAAAGAATTGGTAATTGATTATGTTACGTTAAAAGTTAAAACGTAATTTTCTCGTTTATTATTATTGTCCATGTTGCAACATTATGATTATTAGTATGTATTGTCCTTGTTTTGTGTACATATCATAAACATGTCAAATAGAAAATGATAGTAAGGTAATTTTGAAGTTTTGTCCTTGTTTTATGTACATATCATAAACATGTCAAACATATAGAAAAGGACAGTAATGTAATTTTTGACTTCAAGTAGTAAATCCCACACCTTTAAATCCATGATAAAAACATCCCAACAAACAAAGGATTGTTACAAATCCATGATGCCTCAAATCCTTGATAAATCCTTGGATTTTTAAATTACAAAACCCTCATTTTTAAATCCATGACCCAATGTTTGATGTCCTTTTATATAATTGGCCTAGATTTTCAAATATATGTATCTTTCAGTTGTCGATTTTTCTCCGTCTCCCACAAATAAGCTAAATCCAAATTTCAACTTTCCCTAACATAAAGAAGAAGAAAAAACCCCATTTCTTTACTTAAATCATTTCATTAGGATGGATAAAATACCTCCTCCCATGGTTCATGGAATCATACCAGCGGCAGATCTAGAATATGATAGAGCACTGAGTCACATTTGAAAAGTGGCGAAGAAGAATGTGCCATGTAAACCAACGAGCACTAAAACAAATACATAAAATCAAAAATTTACTAGTGCTACACTAACTTGGATCCAGAGGAGGGTTGAGTCGTGGTCCAGGGGCGACCCCCTGGATCCGCCGCTGAATCATATGATTGAATAGAGCTAAGTTGATAGAGATTTTATTAGGAAGTTGCTAGCTGTCGCTGAATCATAGTTGAATAGAGCTAAGCTGATAGGGATTTTACTAGGGAGTTGCTAATTATCATTCTATATACTATATAGCCACTATTTGACATGCTAACTTTCCACTACCAAATATACTTTTTTTCTTTTATCTTTTGTTCTCAGATTTTACCAGTACGATTTGATTTTAGCCTACTAGCTTAGCTCCTTTATGACTCCTTCAATGTTGTTAGCAAACAATTTATTGACTAATAAAATCCCCAACGAAGATTCAATGGTTCGGTATCTCATGAATGAAGCGTTTTGTCTTCTTGTGGAACTGGGCCCAAACCTAGCAAATGCTTCCAAAAACCAATTGGGCCACCCCGTAGAATTACGTTGGGCCCTCCCTGGCATTCGCATATGCCGTTTCCCTGTTTGCCAACTCAAAAGCGTTTTCCCCATGTGTGGTGTGTATTCTATTTTATTCTCTTCCTCCTCTCTCTGTTCTTTTGTCATTTCTTCAATTCCACCAAACCATAGACTTGGTTTGGTTGTCAAATGCATTCAAACCATAAGTTGTTTATCGACACCGTGGACAGCTTACATCCGTACACGTGGGCTATCTGATCTCCTTCCCAGCCATTGCATGTGTGTATGTTTCGAGATCATCTGCAACATGGTTGATTATATTTTTTTATAAGAATAATATAAATTTATTTTCATTTACTATTTAACAGATTCGAATACGGAATCTTCATATTTAAACTTAGTGGTGTTATCACAAATGCTTCTTGCTTGTCAACCAAATTGTCTATGTTTCTTCAATGAATCTAATTATCAAAATATGGTATTACCACAAAATGTTGATCATAATTTGGTATTGTTGTAGGATGACTACTTCGGTGCACTCACAAAAATGAGTGCATTCAATGCACTCAACTCAAAAACTAGTCTTAAGGTGTCGGATTTTGAATTTTAATTTGTAGAATTAGTGTAATATGATGATATAACATATGATAACAACTAATTAGCGGATTACCCTAAGCTCTAGACCTCCAATTTTGAGTTCTATCCCTAAATCCCAAATTATAAACCCTAACCCTAACCCGAAATCTGTAAACTCTAAATCCTTCAAATTAAAGTAAATCTTTAATGATTTTTGTGCAAATTCATGTGCATTATTGTTCATCACATCATAACTGATGATTGACATCATTTTGATATAAATCGCATGTTTAAAATAACGGTTATGAAGCGAGTGCACTGAATGCACCCAACAAAATAAGTGCACCGAAGACGCCACCATTGTTGTAGTTCTTAAATGTTGGAAGAATATTTGTTGTTCAATTATAATGTTGGCTTTTTATTGGTCGTTGTAATGGAAAGCGAAATATTGGCACATCATCCGACCACCCCCAAAACCAAAATATTTCCACGTGTCCAAACTTATACCTCCATCGCAAGTCACTAAGCTAATTAAGCTAGCCTCCAAAGAAGGGCCAGGTGGAAAAGTAAGAAAATGAAAGGCATGGCCAAGAGATGATGAGAAAATAAGAGAAGCCGATCCCAATTAGGCCAAGGACCATGAGATGAGAGGGACGTGGACTCATAAAAACGAAATCTCCTCATTTTCCAGTCCAGATTATGCCTAACTCCTTGGAACATGAACCAGCTAGGCTTGGATTTATATTCAAAGCCAACAAAACAAAAAGCCTTCCGCACACTGTTCAGTGTTCACAGATAGGCTAGCAACCGGCAGCTGACTGCTGATGAATGACATTTAGAATATATAGGGTTCTTCTTCTCCTAACCGTTCTAATTATAGAGATGAAGTGGTTGTTGATGCATCTACCTAAACTTGATTCATTCTAAGGCGATGATAATCCGCGTGAAACGATTGGATCGTATTGTGTTGTCACTTGTCACAATTTTTTTCCCTAAAATACAAATCTTCCTATAAAATATTCCCAATACACAATATTTTTACACTAATATTTTTCAAAATACACAAGTTTTGTACAGTGGATTGTCCAACGGAGATCACAATTTATATCTAGTTAGGGGCTAAATTATACGTTTGGTCACTCAAATTACATAAATGTTTCGGTTTGCCACCTGAATTATTTTTCTTTCTTATTCGCCACTAACTTTACAAATCGTTTCACTATTAGTCACCTGCCGTTAGTCTCCGTTAAACTCCGCTAACTCCGTCTGTTTTTTGATGACGTGGCAAACGAACAGCTGACTGGGCTATTAATTTAATGACAAAAAAAAAACC